TGCAGTGGGAGTCGATGACTTAGTTAATCGATTATTGATCTGTTGAGTAGAATGAGAAGACTTCGCCTAAGGATAGGCTTTATTCAACATATAAGCACAGTATAGGCTGAAATGACAAGTGGGAGTGAATTAATGGAAATAGCAGTAAAGCGTAACTTTCACTACAGATCACCATTACTTGCTTGCCATCCAAATCACCATTACAAGCATCGTACCTGTCGATTTCCAGAAGCTTCTCAGTCAACTCAACTCGATATCGTCTTTCCAGGTATAGCAGTAAAGCGTAACTTTCACTACAGATCACCATTCTCCACTTGCCATCCAAATCACCATTACAAGCATCGTACCTGTCGATTTCCAGAAGCTTCTCAGTCAACTCAACTCGATATCGTCGAGCTTTCCAGGTAGCGACTGAAGGCTTTTGCATCAACTGACCTTTTTCAGAGGGTGCTTTCACAATGCCGTGACCACATTTAAGTGGTGTACTACATAATGGAAGACCGTTTTCTGTCGGAGCTCTCCATTGATTACCGATTATCACATGGTCCAGTCGAGTCCACGGCTGGTGTGCAAGTTAGTGGCCTCCAAGTCATACTTCGTGAGTGCTTGTGCTAAAGGTTTAGAATAAAATAAAATAAAAACGGTTCAGCTGTGGCACGCTTTCGGTGCCTAGCTGTCATGCCGCACGAGGGCTGGGATACTTCCACGCCGCCCAAGCCTAGACAGGGAAAGTTGAGAGGCAGAGGTCGGGTTCGAAACACGGACCTTCCGGTCAGTGAATTCGCGCTCTAACTACTTGGTCCATCTCGCCCCCCACCCACCCCCCGAAAAGTTTAGAAACATGACGTTCAACACAATTTGATAAATTCGCTATCCATAATCCGTGCGGCGAGTGCCACTCCCGAATCAGCCTCCGAGGTTATGAGGTCACGAGACCATCATCAGTTCTAGCTCCCTCAGTTTCATTCACCGATAATTAGGTGGAAATGAGGTAGGTGGCTACGCATTGGAGCCGGTAACTGGTTAAATTGATGTAGGCCTGTCAATAAACTTTTAATCGGAGATATTGGGAAGAGAGTTATACATTGAAGGCAATAGCTTGTATGCACGAGCGCCATTGAAGGTGTGACTGGATCATGTCTGACAACGTCTTTAACCATCGATGTGTCCCGTCTCGAGGTTCCCATCCAGGGAGACGACAATGACCGGCGCAACTGAGTTACCAAGTTATTGTTTGACCTCCCCTGGCTGGTTTCCACCCTTCACGTGGTTGTCCGAAAAGAACCTTACGAGGAAGTCGGTCGACTGGTATACGGAACACGTTGCCAAACCTATGGAGTGTGGTCAGTTCATCTACCTTGGGGCAGTCATTTCCTCCGAAAACTTTCCGACTTACTTCAGTATTACTGATTCGGTGTTCTCACCAGACTCGGGCAATGCTCCGAAGATGAAGATGCTCTGAAGATGAATGTCTTTCGACATCATCAGCGCGCAGTGACCAGACTTCTGACCCGTAGGATAATATGGAGCGCACCGCAGCATCGTAAACTCGACACTTGACGGATAAGTCTGTGTCACGCCTATGCCACAGGTGACGCAGGTTCACAACAGCTGCTCCGTTCCTCCCAATGCGGGTAGAAATATCATCCTTTGCGAGACCACTAAGACTGTCCAGGTAGACAAAGTTGTCTACTACCTCAATAGGCCCATGCGCAAACCTTATGTTAGGACTCGAACGAGATGGAGCGAGATGGCCCAAGTGGTTAGAGCGCGAATTTACTGGCCGGAAGGTCCGTGGTTCGAATCCGACCTCCGCCTCTCGACTTCCCCTGTCTAGGCTTGGGCAGGCGCCGGGTAAGGTGCCACAGCTGAACGCTTTTTCTTTTTTCTTTTAACTCGAAGTCACCCAGCTTTTCAGGAACGCTTTACACTTTGGAGGTGTGAAGTGCATGCTAAACCGTGAAGCACACTTATTTAGCCTATTTAGCATTGTTTGCGTTACCATGGCGTCAGATCCAAGAAGAGCTATGTAGTCTGTAGCGGACTAGGACCTTATCAGCGTGTTCGGATAAATTAACAAGCAAAGTAATACAAAATCACAAAATCATAATAGGAAAGGAATCAGTAGTCATATGGGGACTCACGAATGTGTAGATCCAGTAGTCCACTACACCGATCCAAATGCAGTAAGGAACTATTCACTTGTCGGAATTTCCCACAGATGGTTCCGCGTGCGTGATATATTCCACGGTAGGAAAATTATTCACGGCTAAAAAATGTCACAGGGATTTATTGTGACGTTCAACAGTTGACACAAACACAGAGATCTGGTCCCACTGGTTCAGCAGTCAACAAACAGTTCAACGGAGCGTAAATACACTCGTTCAGCAACAAGTCAGCAGGTCGCACCGGAAAATTGTGTATTCGTAACATTAAAACAAACGTCATGATACAATATGTACGACAGTTACAAAGTATGGTTTAAGTTCAGGAAGAATGGTAAATGTGACAACGGATTACAGACACTACAAGTCTGCGTATTCAATATCTGTGCGTGAATGCCTCAGAAGAACTTCGACCCCACAGGCATTAGATAATCATCATCATTGTCAAGAACCGGTACCTTTAAGAACCTGTAAGAACCGGTACGAGATGGCCGAAGTGGTTAGAGCGCGGATTACTAACCTGAAGGTCCGCGGTTCGAATCCGACCTCCGCCACTCGACTTCCCCTGTCTAGGCTTGGGCAACCTGGCAGTATCCCAGCCCTCGTGCTTCCTTCGGGTGGCATGGCAGCTAGGCACCGGAAGGGTGCTACAGCCGAACGCTTTAAGAACCGGTACCTTTTGACGACCGATGCCTCAGAAGCGTTGTTGGCTTTGAATGACGTCAAAGGATCAGTAACGAGGTGATTAGAAAACTGGTATTTGGTTGTAGAGCAGGTACTTCAATCGCGAAAAACAAACAGCACCATCAACTGCGGTGGCTCGGTCATGTGCTACGCATGTCGAAACACTGTCTACCGAGACGAAGGTTGTTCCGCGTGCCTCCTTCAGAATGACACAAACCGCGATGTGGGAAATATATGACTTGGTAGAAGGGTGTGAAAGAGATTACGAAGAGTTTGGGTGTTGTGCGTCTTCCAGGATGAGGCCCCAGTAATCCCACCTGAGATTGGCTTGAGGCATTGCAAAAAATGGCAGCTAATCAGTGTTAATGGCGTTCGTGCTGTCAGGCTGGGTCCAAATTGCCTGATTGAGCGCATGGAGGTGTAGGCGCTTCAGAATGCTTGACATAGGCCAGCACTAGGTCCCCTCTCTCACCCATTCTTTTTCTCTTCTTTTCACTCTGGGGCTTCAGATTTAATTAAACGAAACTTATGGTTGTACGGCAGTGAAGCATCAGTGTCATACTGATGTTGCTGTCTATGATGATGATAATGACGATGACGATGATGATGAACGACAGGTGCATTCTCGTCGTCTTTCTTATAAGTTTTCTTCCACATAACCTGTCCACTGAAGCTCTAAGGATCAGAGCAGCGAGGGACACTCAAACGGCACCCGTTATTTGTATCCGAAGCAAAATAAGCGATGCGGATAAACAGCAGCCTTATTCTGTTTTGAGACACATGTGAGACGTAGAAAATGCACCTGAATGAGTGCGGAAGGCCAAGACATAAATTTCGCCGGGAGGCGGAAGAACGTGCAATCATAAATATAGCATCCTCTACAAGTCTGTGTAGTGCGTTGTTCAGTAGGCGGGAGATAGAGGAGTTCCAAACCAACCTTGTGTGCGAATCCCTTCTCCGAACGCGGGAAAGTAAGGTAATTCACGATAGCGTTATGCGCTAGTATGTTAGTCTTCTGCATGAAGAAGGCATCTACGTGCTTGCATGTCATTTCCTCAAACAGTGATGCTGGAAAACATGAGAGAAAAAACATAATAATGGGAACGAACAACTGTGGGCTGCAACACAAACTACGAGAGTGCCCTTACGAATCCTCCGGTGCGACACCGCCCATTGTTTTCGCTTGTGATGCTTCACCATATGGTGTTGGAGCCGTGTTATCGCAGAAAGATAAATTTGGAATTCTCAAACCAGTTGGTTACGCTTCACGATCTTTGTCGCCTGCTGTGAGGAATTATGCGCAAATCGATAAGGAGACATTGGCGATTCTGTTCGGAGTGACACTTATTCAACACTACATTTTCGGACAAATGTTCGACATATTTACGGATCATAAGCCCCTACTTGGAATCCTCGGAGAAAATAAACCAATACCTCAAATAATGTCGCCTAGAATGCAACATTGGGCCTTAAAACTTGCGTACTGTCGCTATCATTTGCAGTGCGAGATGGCCCAAGTGGTTAGAGCGCGAATTTACTGACCGGAAGGTCCGTGGTTCGAATCCGACGTTCGCCTCTCGACTTCCCCTGTCTAGGCTTGGGCAACCTGGCAGTATCCCAGCCCTCGTGCTTCCTTCGGGTGGCATGGCAGCTAGGCACCGGAAGGGTGCTACAGCCGAACGCTTTAAGAACCGGTACCTGTCGTACAGTGGTTGTAGCTGCGACAGTTTCCTTCACCGATGATGTGGAGAGGTGGTTTGGGTGTCTACTCATTGGAGGCGGAAGCTGATTAGTTTGGGAAGGAAGTTATGCGTTGAAGACAATAGCTTGAATGCAAAAGCGCCATCGAAGGAGCAACTGGGCCATGTCTGGCAATGCCTCTAACCATTGATGTGGTCTGTCTCGGGGTCCCCATCCAGGGAGACGGCAGTGACCGGTGTAGCTGAGTTTGCTGACAATAGCTTTCATATTTCGCTGTCAAGTCCTTGTTCGACTTTCTCTGGCTCGTTTGCACCCTTCGTGTGGTTGTGCGAAAAGAAACTTTCGAGGAATTCAGTCGGTGGGTATACAGAGCACCTGGCGAAGCCGTGTGTCCACCGCTGTTCCTCTTCAGCAGGCATTAGAGCTTGGTAGTCTTGCATAACCGTATCAATGACGAAGTTGAGGAGGAAGGGTAAAGAGGACAGCTTTACGTGACACCACTAGATGTGGTGAGCTCAGGCTAGAGTCTTGCACAGATCTCCACGCGTCCACCGGAGTCGGTGTACAGCGCCCTAAGGAGAGTCAAGAATTCATGGGGGACACGTTTGCCCCACAGACATTTCCAGAACGCCTAATGGTCCACAGAGTTGGAGGCAGCTATTCAACTGTTGTTCGCTGGAGGCAGTGTTACTTTTCCAGAATCTGTTGAAGGGTGAAAATCTGATCGGTTCATCCTTTTGCAGAAAGGATCTCAGCTTGGCTTTCACTGATTTCTCTGTTTGTGTTCAGTCATCCATTGAAGGGTAAGAGCAGAGTGACTACAATACCACAACTACCAACCTGATACCATGGTGGTTTTCACACAACGTCCGCGTAAACTTTTTGAAGGTAAGAATTACTGTCGACGTATCCCGTTCTGCAGGCACCTCTTCACTCCATATCGTACCAATGGTTTTTGTTAAATGAGTCACCATGGTTTCTTCGTCTTGTTTGAAGAGGACTTGGTACAGACAGTCCCGTCATGATAGATATCTTTCTCAGCCTCAGAGTTATCACCTATATGCTCACAAAGAACTGCCGTTCACCACGTTCGTTTGCGTTGATCTTGATTGGGCCAGTTTGTTCAACTGCACAGAAACAGCTACTTACTTCAGTCCAGTCCAGTTAGTTTCCCTCAGTTTTCGGGGTTACATAACACCCATGCTGTATACATCACAAGTCATTGTATGAGATCCAACAGACCAGAAGAGCGGAGTGCTAGGAGTCTGCGTTCGTCCCGAGCAGTATGAGGTGTATGATCAAACTATTGTCTTCTCTGTGCTTTGCAAACTAAAAAAATCGAAATCCTTTAGTTGTAACAATCTTCCGGTGCCTAACTGCTATGCCAATGGAAGGAGGCATGAGGGCTGAGATTTTTGCCAGGTTGCCCAAGCATAGACAGTAGCAGTTGAGATGCGTAAGTTGGGTTCTTACCATGTAGCTTTCGGTCCGTAGTTGATCTCTTAACCACCAAGCTACCTCGGGTTCTGTAAAAGTAGTTGCGACGAAGATTTTTCCGCAGATCCACATTTGGTCTGTCTTTTTAGAAACGGATAGCTTCATACAACTGTTACCTAATTTAGCCCTTTCTGAATTCAGCACAGTGGTGTCCAATGAACATCACTTGTAATCCAGAAAGAACCAGGTAAACATGTTCAAATATGGTCGTTTGAAGCGCAGCCTTCTATTAAATGTTCACGGTTGACTTTACACTAACGCGCTCACTAATCCTTCTGTAACATGAAGTCCATTCAGGAAGTTCCAGTACAAAAGTCTTGCTGGCGAAAGAAGCGTGAATGGTGACCTCGAGGCTGCCTTTATTAACCTGAAATTTTCATAAGCATTCGGTATAATAGACCATACGGCTTTGCTATCCATCTAGATCCTGATGAAATTCATTCATCTATCCTAAATTAACTTATTGAATTCCTTCAGCCTGAGAATCCGAAGATCTTAACATTAATGCACTTTCGTGGCTCGTAAGTGTTTGTGGCCTAATCCTCGCCTGTTCATGATTTGCAACGATTTACTGCTTACCGTAAAATCTAAAATCGAGTCTTCGGCAAGGTGGCAGTATATCAGCCTTTGTGCTTCCTTCAGATGGCGTGGCAGTTAAAGACCGAAAGGTTATTACAGCCGATCGACTAGGTAAATCTCGTGTTTTTTAAGCGGTGACTTGCTGTGAATTCTCCAGTTTGGGGTTTTCGAGGCATCAATTAGTGAGTTTTAGTTACTTTAACACTACCTTCTGTTGGCGGATGGATCGGAAAACGGCCGCCAGCATTGCCCGATCTTATTTCCACTTAAGAATATCGTAATGTGTCTTTTCTTTAGTGTTTTCGACGGCCGAATGTCAGTGTGAATGTTCCTGTCTGTGGTGGTGATGGTAGACTTGAACCATACGGTCGTCATGTAACAGGTGGATGTGTCGATTGGCTGTGTAAGAACAACAACATTTACCTTTCTCAGTAAAAACAGACGTGTATAATTATGCTGTTTCAGCATCCTACTGTTCCCATAACATACAGCAACTATGTTGAATTCATAAGTGTGAGTTGCAAGAATAAAACAGTTGGTGCTTGAATCATTTCCAACCACTCTGTGTTGCCATCTTCAGTACATAGCAGAGAGGAGTGCATAGTTGATCACCATTTAGACTACTCTGCTTCTATCCCTCTTATGATATGGCTACCGGTTCCTAATCTCGGTAGTCGGCACATGTGTTATTCCAAAAACAGTGACGTAAAACAATAAGTCATACGGTTTTTCTCCTCTGAACCAACCGAATTAGTCTCTTCTGGTAGAATACACCTTGGAGTGCCAGTTGAAAGTGGTTTCTCCAAGGTATGACAACCGTATGCATAGTGACTACCGATGATGCATGTTTGTAATCATAATGGTAGACTAATCATTCTGAATTGCACTGTAACTGACTGGTTCGGAAATACCAGTCTTACAAGCGTAAATGGACTGGCTATTTATTAGTGTACAAAAATGGTACCAACAACACAAAGAAATTAGAGCAAAGCAACTTGGAGTTGACAGGGATAAAACTGGGGAAATTCAGTAGCATGTGTAAAATAGGTCAACAGGGCCATAGCATCATTAACAGCACATCAGTGTTCAAACACTGACACTTCGCTACCATACAACTATAATTTATTTGAAAAAGGCCCTAGAAGCGGATGTAGAAGGGACTTGGTGCTACCACAGTTTTTGACAATGGGCATATCCTTTGATCGAAAGCGCTGTCGCACAACCGAACACTCGTTCCTTGTTTGTCTCGTTGCTCATTCGCTGTCACTTGCCTACAGGAGCCATGATTGTGGGACAACAGTTTTTTAAGGCCTGAATTGTTCTCATTGCGGCTACACGCGGAGCCACGTCCCACAACCATACGAAACAACCTGTACTTTTACATACAGTTTCCTTGGGGTTCATGGATAGGCCGCTTTCACGAGATAGGTCTCAGTTTAGCTAACGTGACTCGATCCTTAATGATTCGTGCATTGATATCGTCTGTAACACTACAACGAAGAATAACACATCTTCCAAGATATTAAGAACGCTCCGCGATCTCGAGTGTTTTTCCTTTGATTGTAAGTGCGTGTTCAATGACTGCAAGTTCGGGAGTATGACCTTACACTTTTTGGTTGCAAGGCACATGTTACAGCATGGAGTAAATACGAACTGGTCAGTAATGACTGGTTTACTGAATCAACGGTCTTAATTTGTCGATAGTTACGTAACTCCGAGAAAGGGTATTGGTTTATATATTCTAGAGATGATGCCTTCGAAACAAGGCACTCGATTGCTGGTTGATTCGATGCATCAAAATACATTTTCTTAGCTATGGCCCAATCAGTACATACCACCACACATGAAGAGATCAATCCAAATCGGCTTTCCTCCCTTTAAAAGCACCTACAGAATCAGGAGATGAGAAGAGGTCACCGTATCTCACAAGCTTTATTTCTGTCTAAAGTTTGCGCTATTACTTTTCACCGGGCTGATTCTCCTAAGAATGATCAACTTGACGCCGCTTGTAAGTGGTCTTTGTTTTGAACTGTATTGTTTTAAAGTCATCCAAACCCAGTGGGTATAGCACGAATTTATTGAGCTGAAGGTCCGTAGTTCGAACCCGACCTCTGCATTTCGAATACGGCTGTCTAGGCTTCGACAACCTGGCAGTATTCTAGCTCTCGTGCTTCCTTCGGGCGGCTAGGCACCGAAAGGGTGTTACAGCTGAACAGTTATTATCAGTAAATTTAATAAATTTAATTTTGAGGAGTTTTGCACTTTTTGAGTGCGTCTAGTTTTCGAAGACATGCTCCTCTGGGACTGTCTGAGGTGTAAACACCAGAGTCTTCAAAGTACTAACGATTTTTATGTTGTTTCAGGATTGGATTCATGCTGTTTTCACGGGTTAAACATCTGATTCCATATCGAACATGTGCACGAGGATCGGCTAAGAAAGTCAAAGCAGGTTAGAACTGTCCGCCCTTTATTACAATCGTTTCTACCATAGGAAAAGGTGTTGCCGCTGTAGCTAAAACGAAAGAACTGCCCTTGGAAACAGATATAGCGAAGGTCGTCAACTGCTGTTGCATCAACTACAAAATAGGTGAAGATCCAATCCCGTTGAAACCCGACAGGTCTGTCATTCCCCTTTTTGATCATTAATTTGTGCTCATACAGTGAATACCCACAGTGGTTGTGGACCCTGAGAACGGACAGACGTCCTCCACCTTTGGATCAAGTGGACAGAAATTCATACTACTTTTGGAGGCGTGTTAGACGTGATAATTTCCGACACTGGAATCACTTAGCTAGTCTTGATGGGTGGCACAGAAAGGATCACCGATCTTTGGAGAGTCATGCCAATCGGTTTTATGGTGACTGGGAAACCGTGTCAACGGATTGGTGGAATTCCACACGTTTAGAATCGAACAATAAAATTCAGTAGCATCGCATTTCATCTTCTGGTCCATATGGACACTTTTGAGCCATTCTCTATACACGGTCGTTTAGTTTGGGGTGTAAACTAAATAAGGTTGTACTTTGTGCAATAGTTTGTACAATGCACAGTGTTATTAGGATCATTCTGTTGTTAATCAGTTTCCCGGGTACCCCAAGTCCTAGATTGATGAAATTTGGCCCTCAAAACTCGTTACCACATCGGCATGCATGTTTCGTTTCCTACTGTGAATCAGCTTTGAAGAGATCTATCACCTATAATGTGCTTGAGGGCTATGAAATGCAATTAGAAGCACCTTGCGATGATGATCAAGCCATTGGCTATAACAAAGTTAACCTCAGACAGACTAGCCACATAGTGAGTGACGCTGTCCGTTATCGATCAGATTCGATGTCAACTGTTACTTCGGAACGGTGCCCACTCAGCTTGCGCAATTGAGGCGAGATCATCAGTCATTTATCCGATAAAGCCGAAGGGTCGTAGATCGATCAGCGCCACCTGAGCTCAGTAAAAGCAAACATTGTCCAATAGAGGTTTTTGAAAGAATGACCTCCAGGTTGTCGAGGAAATGCACAGCAGTGAATATATTTGTAGCCTTCTGACTGAACCTGATGAGCGGACGAAGTCGTAATCAGAATAAGGCTTTCTGATGCGTCTAACGAATACATCAAAGCTGTAGGTATTTCAAATAGTTTAATGATGTGCTACGGACCGCACCATACGAAAGTACAGAAGAATAAAGCCATTTCCTAGAATGAGTAGCGGTCACGTTCAAAAGTGAATAACCTGGGCTTCCTCATCGATCATCATGCGGAACATGAATGGAAACATAGTATTTAACGGTTGTGCGGCAAAATTTACTACGACCTCTTCATTCATTAGTACTTCGAAATACACCGTTATGATTTGTTGCATACATACACAATACCAAGTTGCAACTATTTTTGAGCCGAAAATGTGATAACAAATAGGTTATGGAAGCATCCTAGTTAAACCAATCACATCGCTCAAACGTGAACACGTTCGCCTTTTCAGACGTAATGATTACGGACACCCAGGTGTGAATATTTTAGAAATAATTTATTTACCAAGCTTCTTAAGGAGGAGAAAGCGCCGAGACATGGATTTCTTTGATTATCTCTTCTTCCAGTCACTCAAACTGCATCCTGCTATCATTCCGGTCTGCCAAGGTTGACTGCGTCAGCCGACATGTTCCATATTAGGTTGGTAGAACATCCAATGTAATCTGATTACAGTTCAAGAAGGGAACGTTCCCCATTCAAAGCGAATCGCCTGATCGTCAAGTCATCAGGAAAGCGGATGGTGACTATAGCCTTTGTTTTTCAAATTAATGTATAGAGTTTACTCTACGGGGAAGAAAGTAGAGATATTCTGGATGAGTTGATGCTCGTCTGGCTTGGTAGCACAGTGTTTCAGCACGATCTGAAGCCTCATGGAAATCCCTAAGGGCATTGCATTCCATGAAATTGAGCCCAGGAAATTAAAAATTTGGGTCTTCTGCTTGTAGCCAATATTGTTGTGCTTTGGGTTAGAGCAAGTAGCTTTCGATCTGATTTGGACAGTGGAAAACAAGTGGTCGACGATAGAGTTGAAAACCACTCGGGTGGTGAGAGTGACGACCCTAAAACACAGACGTTATAAATTCCTAGCTCCGTGAAAGCGAGTCGATCAATTAGTGCGTTTGTTTGATAGATGGTAAGTGATTAATGCTTTGTGACCCATACGGGGTAGGTAAAACAGTAGACATGATTTTTAGCCTCGGAAGCTTCATAATAGCATGTGCAAACATGGTTTGTTGTGAGGCACTTGCTATCGACAGTATCACAAAGGGGTGGAAATAACCGCTCATCCTTAATTGCTGGGTTGTTGTGGACATTTCTGTTCCTAGCAATTAGGGATTTTGCAAATCGATGGACGTTTATGCATAGGAGCATGCATTTTGCCGTTGAACAAGGTGAGACAATGCAGAAGAGTTGCGACTGGTCTACGCATTCGTATACCAATGATATTCATTGTAATGCTTTAACATGAAGTCGCGCCATGCCCATGAACCTTGGCTTTCACTTCCAACAGCCGAACTTGGATGAGTCATTGTGCAATAACCGCAACTCTGGCTGAGTTGCTCTCCGAATTTACCTGGAACAATCGGCTTGCCTGTTTTCTTGTCTAAGGTATCGACTGTCCGAAAGTTTTGGCTGCTAGGGTCAGAACCATCGATAAAAACCCGCTCGTGCCACCAGGAGGTGGACACGCGTATGTGATTGCTCTCAAAAACACGAGTATCACTCTATCCACAATTCATGTGTGTACGTCAACCGAATGTGGGCCAGTCACGTGGGCGTTAGGTTGGACGATCGTCAATATGTCGCAAATGCTAAGATAGATGCAACCGGGAGCGGTCGACGGACCTGTGCGAATGAGTTCGAAAAATCAATCTGTTGACGATTGGGGAAGCTTCGTACGTTCAGGTTATACACTAGAGTACCACTTGAAATTTAGTATCCACAATAGCCTGTCTTGACAGCAAGATAATTGTGAAAAACGTTTTACTGTTTGATTTCATAAACACCTGGTGTGTGGTGAATTTTCAGTGTCCAGTTAAGCCGCTTGACTGAAAAATTTCGGGCCTGGTTTATTTGGTCGATAGGCCAAGGTGTAAGCTAAGCTCCAGAAAACCTCGCTTGACTTTGTAATTGACCGTATAGAAAACAGTGAAGTTAACCTAACAACTCTGGAACGTAGTTGATCTCGCCACACCAGTAAGTGCTCTCAGAATAATGGGATCCAGTCGTACGACTTGCACGAGGGCATGACTCGGGAAAATAACCAAGAAGTCAAAGACCTTCGAAAGGCGCACAGTTGACGGGAAACGACTGTATCAAGATAGGACACATTAAGTCTAACCTCAATGAAGTGATTTTGGTAGGATGATTAAATTTTTACTATTCCTTTTTTCGTATGCAAAAAGAAGTAAACGCCCCACTTGATTGCGATGATGTTAAGAAGAGCGGAATGCTTGATGGCGCGAGTTGAGCACTCAGATTTTAGCAATGCATTGCAGTCAGCTTGGTGTCTAAGTAGATAGGGTGGCCGTTAAAATATATTTTCGGGGCCTATATAGGCCAACGGAATAGTGATTTTTTCGATAAATAACTGATTGTGCAGAATGAATATGGAATCACATTTTCCCAGGGAATAACTAGTCTTTACGGAGGTATACGATCCAGAGGTGTTCGTGGACACCGTTTATTCATCCAGATGTTTTCGTTCATTGTAAGTCCCACCACTGGATTCATACCCAACGAAACGCTATGTAGAAGGTTGTGGTAGGAGGCTACGATTGAGGTATTACGGTGCATAACCCGCAGGCATTTGGAAACAGGTCTCCATCATGCACTTCACGGGCTTCGCGCGTTCTGTCGATGGCAGGTAGCAAAGCTAAAGTCTGGCACTTCAGAAACGTTCGTCGATCTCTGTGTGAATTGTCCACTTCGGCAAATCTTCAAGAGAAATGTGGCCACATTAGGAAGACTACCGTGTTAGTCGTCAACGTACTCTGTTCGCGTCAATTATATTATGATGGACTGTTATTCAACATGTAGAACATTACTTACATGTGTACTGTCTATCGTTCATTTAGATGCGACTGAATAGAATAAGCAGTTAGAGCGTAATCTATAGTGAGTCTTAACACGTTGAACGAAGTAACTCAGCAAGAGCGTTCAAAGGTCCAGGCAGTGGACTGTCATAACCAAGCCAAATGTTACGGTGGATGCGGCAATCCTTTTATTATGTTCCGATATCCGCACACTATCAGTTTTCCGATCTACCCACAAGCCATCTGGCTTAGTCAATCAATCCGAGAGCATGGCCATGATACGCCCTGATTAAGAGGATTCGATACGCCACGGAATCCAATTTAAGGCGAGTACGAATAGATTGGGCGTTAGATGGCGAAGCTCCAATCCTAGCAAGTACGGTCCAGAGGGCTAATGGCTAGCTCGATTTTATATGAAAAAAACGCTAGCGTTTTAGTGAGATGCATGGCAATGGAACATGCGTATCCATTTCAGGATTCATCTGGCCACATCAACGCGATTGAATCCGAAATAGCCTAGTTAATACGTGTCGATCCGCGCAAATCATCATTGACAGTGTTCACATTTTATACGTTCTGGTCGTGTTAAAAAACTTTGCACACCCCCACCCCCAATATGTCGGTCCTTATCTTGTGACTTCTCGACACCCCAAATATTTCATTACACAATTTAACAATAAAACTGCTACGGTCAGTATCGATCGTTTGAAATCAGCATATACTGATTTTGTTGACTCAGGACATCTTGGAAACAACACCGATGATGTAAAGCCCAAAAACAACGTGACCGAAGATTTCCCGAAACAAACTCATGCTGGTCTCCAAACGAACAATACGGGACCCCACGCTCCGACCGTCGCGTTCACTGACCTGATAGTTTCGTCCCTGGAAAACATCAATCATAACATCATTCTTCTTTCTGGGGGGGAGGGTATTTGTAGCTATCCCTTCGCCAACATGTGACTGCACAATGCAGCAGTGAGGCATCGGTGTTGAACACTGTGTCATGCTGGTCGATGATGATGATGACTGCACAGCGCACCGCCGCTCGCTAGATCACGAAACTCGCCTTTTTCCCTACACTTACAAATCACGACATTTAAGGGTGACTTATTTGACATTGACTGTCTACCGTCTGATCAGTGTAGCAAAAGTCATGTGCTGACACCCATACACGCAAACGAGCCTACACAACTCAACAGAGCTACGCACGTCGCCCAACTCAGAGTCTAGCCGCTCAGGAATTACGGTGCACCACTCACGGATAGTCAGGAAATACGTGTAGCCGTTACAATAGAGAAGACACGAAACCTGCATCCGGACGTGCAACAGGATTTACCAACTTGCATCTACAATACAACACGTCCCTTGTTCATTCATATACCTATTGTAATCATTTTACTGAACAAAGCTGTCTTTGCTAGTGCTCCCCGTTTTCTGTTCATATAATAAATTTTCGGGTTATAGTAAAACATTAACAACAGCAACACCAGATGAGAAAACAGGTACTGATGTATAAACATTTCAATCTGCTTGAATAAGGCCTCGGTGGAAGGTGAAAAAGAAGAGGCGGGGAGGGAACCTAGGGCCAGCTTACAACAAAAATCCTAGGTGCCGACACCTGCAACACTTAGTCAAGCAATTTGGGTAGAAACTGATAGCACGAACACCCGTGATACCTGTTAACCGACATATCCTTTAGTGTCCGCAGCCAAGCATTCCGGAAAGCGAACAGCGCCCATATCATATTCTGTCCACCACTGCAGATTAGGCACGGAAAACAACGCTCGTTTCGGTAGACAGTAACCCGGCATGCATAACACATGGCCCAGCCAGCTTAGCTTGCAGTGCTGGATGCATTCTTTGATGGAAGTACCCTCTGCTTCACCAGATGACCTCCCGATCAAATTCCGAATTCGTTGGTTTCAGCCATACTTCTGATACATTGGTGGTGAAAGACCTCAAGGCTTTTCAGGTCCTCCATTCGAAGTGACCAAGTCTCGCTGTCGTGCAACGGTACAGCCAATACTGTAGTCTGGTAGACATGTTCTCTGAGACCCAGCGGAATTCCTTTTCGACACCTCAATTGGCGCGAATTGCCCTGCGACAGGGAGACCTTGAACACCTCCGAAATTTTGACAACTAGTGTCTTCCTAGCACAGCGGACTGCAACGTTGTGGTGTTTGAGCACGTACTCGTTAACGAGGTAGAATCACTATGGTAGCAAATGAAAATTACCAGCTTAGATTGGGTAAGACATGTGCCGCGCACCCCCAACCAGTGTCCACCAAATAAGACGCTATTTTTCACTTTGAATCTATGCTGGCGAAAGATAAGAGAACAGGCCATGACATGGTTGCGCGAAATGAAGTCAGCTAAGGCGGTATTGTGGAATGAGCACGCAAACTTCCTGCAAGTCATCCAGCATTTGGTTTATTCTACGGCTCTCCAGACAGCCGGAAGAGCGAATTGAAGAACGTGAAACACCAGCTCGAACAGCCTTCAGAACTCCCAAAACCTGTCATCAACTTTCTCAACTGTCGAAAACTGGAGTAGGTTTACGAATAACAACTAAGCCTTGGGGATTCGCACTCGTGACTGTCGGCCATCGGGTCAGCACTGAAAACCACAGCCCGGTTATGATACCCACTACCCGTCACTTTGTTTATCTCGCACAGTTTACATTACACACCACTGACGCTAATCACTGCCCTGCCTCACACAATCCAACACCGGAAACACTGACCCCAATGACACGAATGCGAGCTTTGTTTATTTGAAGTTTGCTTCAGGCTTGAAAACTGTGACAATTCGTTGCCGAAAAGTTGAGAGTTCGAAATATTCAGGCGTAATTAGGGCNGCTTACAACAAAAATCCTAGGTGCCGACACCTGCAACACTTAGTCAAGCAATTTGGGTAGAAACTGATAGCACGAACACCCGTGATACCTGTTAACCGACATATCCTTTAGTGTCCGCAGCCAAGCATTCCGGAAAGCGAACAGCGCCCATATCATATTCTGTCCACCACTGCAGATTAGGCACGGAAAACAACGCTCGTTTCGGTAGACAGTAACCCGGCATGCATAACACATGGCCCAGCCAGCTTAGCTTGCAGTGCTGGATGCATTCTTTGATGGAAGTACCCTCTGCTTCACCAGATGACCTCCCGATCAAATTCCGAATTCGTTGGTTTCAGCCATACTTCTGATACATTGGTGGTGAAAGACCTCAAGGCTTTTCAGGTCCTCCATTCGAAGTGACCAAGTCTCGCTGTCGTGCAACGGTACAGCCAATACTGTAGTCTGGTAGACATGTTCTCTGAGACCCAGCGGAATTCCTTTTCGACACCTCAATTGGCGCGAATTGCCCTGCGACAGGGAGACCTTGAACACCTCCGAAATTTTGACAACTAGTGTCTTCCTAGCACAGCGGACTGCAACGTTGTGGTGTTTGAGCACGTACTCGTTAACGAGGTAGAATCACTATGGTAGCAAATGAAAATTACCAGCTTAGATTGGGTAAGACATGTGCCGCGCACCCCCAACCAGTGTCCACCAAATAAGACGCTATTTTTCACTTTGAATCTATGCTGGCGAAAGATAAGAGAACAGGCCATGACATGGTTGCGCGAAATGAAGTCAGCTAAGGCGGTATTGTGGAATGAGCACGCAAACTTCCTGCAAGTCATCCAGCATTTGGTTTATTCTACGGCTCTCCAGACAGCCGGAAGAGCGAATTGAAGAACGTGAAACACCAGCTCGAACAGCCTTCAGAACTCCCAAAACCTGTCATCAACTTTCTCAACTGTCGAAAACTGGAGTAGGTTTACGAATAACAACTAAGCCTTGGGGATTCGCACTCGTGACTGTCGGCCATCGGGTCAGCACTGAAAACCACAGCCCGGTTATGATACCCACTACCCGTCACTTTGTTTATCTCGCACAGTTTACATTACACACCACTGACGCTAATCACTGCCCTGCCTCACACAATCCAACACCGGAAACACTGACCCCAATGACACGAATGCGAGCTTTGTTTATTTGAAGTTTGCTTCAGGCTTGAAAACTGTGACAATTCGTTGCCGAAAAGTTGAGAGTTCGAAATATTCAGGCGTAATTAGGGCGGTATGGCCCCTTCGACCGAAGCCCTAGGGTCACATCTGAGCATACATCCAAAGCTCCCTGGTGTTAACCTAACAAAATATCGTCACAACGACGGTCCATAAAGGCCCGCAACGGAACGAAATGGTGCAGTAAATAGGATGTGAAAAAAGAATTTACTGGCCCCAGAAAACATCAGCACAATGACGCCTGTTTTGGGTTTTCGCCATCGGCATCATAATGGGAGGGCATCAGCAAACGGAAAACGGTACATAGGAATGTAGGGAGTTAGAAGATCAGTAGGATTTCCATTACTGTCCGTTAGTTGAACTGCGCGTAGCAATAGACGCGTGATCCACCTCGATAAACGTGGGACTTTCCACTAGAAATGCCTTTTTGGTGTCAGATTGGACAACTTCGCCGACAACCCAAGCTGGACTACCCTCCAACTCTTTCAGTTCCTCACAATATTGTGTTGCGGCAGCCGCAGGTAAGATGACCAGCAAACCACCTGAAAACAACATGAAACGATAGAGTCAGTCAGCTATTGGCCGGAGTAATGATACCAACAATGTATGGAATTAGCAATCAATCAACCAATTTATCAGCCGTATACCCTGGACACATTGGTTCCAGCTGCTACAGTTTCGATCACCGGTAAACGGGAATGTGGGACGTACCAAGCCTTGGAGGCGAAGACATGTTTAGTTTGTTCGATAATTGGGTAGCTACGCATTGAAAGGGATAGCTTTGATGCACGAGCACCACTGACTGCGTAATCGAGCCATTTCTGCCAATGTCATTAACCACCGGTGATTTGAGTCCCATGGTTGCCATATAGGGAGGCGACAGTTGCCCACCCGACTAGGTTTAGTGGTTAATGTTTTCCTACCCCGTTGCCAGGTCATACACTGTCCACTTCTCGGTCGCATCCACTCAGCACAGGGCTGGGAAAAAAGAGCTCTGCGAGGCAGACGGTCTTCTGGCATGCGGAGTACATGTCCCAACCAGCGCATGAATTAAAGCGCGTGATTAAATCATCTATCGCGGGAGATTTCCTCCCTCCTAAGACCATCTGGCATACCTCAACATTACTAATTCGATGCTTCTACCAGACCTGACCAATGCTAAGGAGACATCGATGATCAAACGCTGACATCTTCCGTATGTCCTCTGCGCGTGGGGGCCACGTCTCTGATCCATAAAGCAGTACGGATCGCACGATCGCAGTGTACACTCTCATTGACAGACAAACTCATGTCACGTCAGCACCATAGGTGTCGGAGGTTGGCAAAAGCTGCACTGGCCTTCCCGATTCGAGAAATAATCTCACCTCCAGCCAATCCACCGGAACTTATATAGCTGACCAGGTAAACAAATTTATCTACCACGTCGATTGGCTCGCCTGCAAGTCGTGACAGGATTTTACACTTTGTAGGTACGAAGCACATGCCAAAACGTGCGGCAGAGTTATTTAGGTTATTCACAGTCGTTTGCAGTTGGGAAGGATCTGAGCCAAGGAGACCAATATCGTCTGCATACTTAATGTCTGTGATGGAACGTCCTGGGAGCATTTCGACTCCCAAGGTTTCAGAGACAGGCAGAGAAATTTCAATCAGTATACTGATAACAAAGTTAGAGAGGAAAGGGGAAAGAGGACAGCCTTGTCTTACACCACTGGACGTGGTGAACTCAGCCGAGAGCTTCCAGTATACTCGTGCGTGCCCACAGGAATTCACATACAGTGCCCTCATAAGGGAGAGAAATTTGGAAGGGACATCTTTGATCGCCAGCTGACATCGACAGAATCAAAAGCAGCTTTCAGATCCAGAAAAACGACCAACGTGGGACGCCTGAAGGGGTGGCGCTGTTCACGAATTTTTCTCAAGGTAAAGATATGGTCGATGCATCCTCGACCAGGGCGAAACCCAGCTTGATTCTGACGAATACGTCTCTATCGATAATCCATCGACCTGCGCAAAATAATGCCAGATAACACTTTAGGTGTGACTGGTACCACGATGTTTTTCACATGACGTTCTTGCTCCCTTTTTGAAAACTGGGATGACGGTCGAGGAGCTCCATTCGGGTGGTATTCTGTTTTCCTTCCAAATCTTCTGCGGTATGGTTATCTTACGCTGGACTTATTTTGTCTGTGGATGCCAGCTGAGTAATTTAGGAGCTTCATGCAATTTGTTTTGTCAAGTTGATAGTCTAGTTATTTGGGTGGGAAAACCTCAAGGAAGAAGACGAGGTTACAACAGAAAGAAGATGAAATCTCTGTTAAATATTAGAGAGTAGAATTGTTTGTAAGGACCCAACCGTCCTAACAATTTCGGTTACTCATGGTGGGTTGGTATCAATGTTCCATTCGGGCCCACTTGGCTCTTTCGGCGGCTGTGTTGAAGGAGACCAGGTGAAACGTTCTTGCTCAACCCACCGCTCAAGACGACAATTAAGGGAGTGAATTGCCATTGCGTCTTTTTCGCATATTGTCTCACTAACACCTGCCTTCTTTTGACCCGTTGATCGAATCAGTTAAAACAGGGCGCGGTTGCTGCCTGCAGCGAAAGCCTTATTCATCTTCTGGGCTTTCGAAATCCACCAACGTTCTCTGTCGTTCCTCAGTTTCCTGATTATCTGGTATCTAAAGGATCTATTGAGTGTTCATTGAGTTGAGTCAGATGGGCTGGACAAACAGTTCTGAAAGCTGAGTTGCTTGCTTCTTCAACTCGCCTCCATTCATCCTCCAAGCAATTATGCGTTTGCAGTAGCTCTCTAACCAGATCACCCTGATACGCTTCAGCTACTGAAACTCGTCGAAGTTGATGAACGGAGCTGCTCTCTTTTGGCACGCGTGGTGCTGGCGGGAAGCGAAGTGCTAAGCGGGCCCACACGACGGCCTGATCAGAATCAAGTTGCGTACCCCAGAAGGAACGACAATCCTTAACTGAGGCTCTCCATCGGTAACTGATAGCCATATGGTCCAATTGAGTCCACGACTGTTTTGCGGTAGGTGGCCTCCAAGAAACTCGGTGTGTACGTTTCTGTTGGAAGTTCGTACTGACCAGGAACAGACGATGATCTGCACACAACCGAAGCCGCTATCCATTATCCGTAAGCTCAGCATCGACTTCAAATCCACCACCTAACTGTGCTTCTTCCGGAATTAGTCGTCCAAATCGGGCATTCATATCACCCACCATGATCAGTATATCCGTCCTTCTTGCCGACCGAAGCAGTCGTGAGAGATCTTGATAAAACTCGTGCTTCTCAGTCTCAGAACTGCTATCTGTTGGGGTGCATGCTGATACGACAAACAAACATCGCCTACCGCATCGACCTGCATTGATCTTAATTGAGCCAGACAGCCGCACGACAGAAAGGTGAGTGTTTACTGGAATCCAGTCCACTAAGGCGCTTTCAGCCTTGGGCCTCAGTGCAATTCCCACGTCGTAGATACCATGAGCCATTGCGTCGGGATCACTGGATGCCCGAAGAGTGAAATGTGGAACATCTGGGCTCGTCCTAAGCGGCTTGAGGAGCGCCACCGAAGTGCGGTCTTGTATGCGTGTTTCAAAGACACAAGATACATCGATAGAGAGGGAAAGTAAGGTTTCAGCAAGGGATGCCCGTTGCCCAATTTGACACAGAGTACGGACATTAAAGGCTGCAATGTGGATCAGATCTTTTGAGGTTAGTAGGTGATTATTTTGGTTTATTTTTCTGATCGATGGTTGAGACACGGAACAGTGGCTAGGGGATTGGCAGATGGGTTGGGATGGAGTGAGAGAAGGCCAGTGAGCGAATAGCTGCGAGGGCAAATGATATTTCCCGGTTGACCAGGACTCATTCGTAATGCAAACGCACGACCAAACACAGCAATAGAACAAATAACTGTTGGAAGGATGGATATGCTTGCAGCAAACATTATCACTCACCTGAAGTTTCTGGGCACAATCCCACAGTCAGTTTGAACCGATCATTTAGCAAGCGAGATAGCTCCAGAGTATGTGCCAAAACAGGCAAAGAGTGCAGTTTGAAGCCGATCGTTGGGTTAGTCTGGAAACGAGCCAGGTTATCTGCGTGCCCGAGCAGCCCGAATCCGGTTACGTCAGTGCATCCATGTGCGCCGTATTTGTGCATCAAACGCGCAGCTGCGTCGAAAAAGAAATCGATAAGGGTATAACATTTTTTGGAGCACAACTAAACCATAACAACGAGTATCTAACCAGAAGTAGGTTGGCCACACTGTCATTCTCCGCACGAGGCTGCATCAGTCAAAACGCCGCAGTGGTCGGTCCGGAGGTCGATGCAGCCAAAAAAGCCTATTCAATCCGTGGATAGATCATGTACCTAAGGATCCAAGCAGATGAACTCCCGAGATCTATATTCTGTTTAGTGCTACGCTCCTTTTCGTCCTTTATGTATGCAAAAACTGGCCTTTTGGATCGAAGATCTTTGGCAGATTAAGAGGCATGAGAAACGAGTTTTTGAGGAGCATCATTGAAGTACAACAGCACGATCTATTGTCTATCCATGATGTTGAGCGCTGCTTCGGAATGACAACTTTTTGAGCATCTCCCCGAGGGTAGACTACAATAGCTCGGAAACGTTTTTCGAAAGCGGAAGAACGACTTGAGATTTTATCCCAGTTCCTGTATGGCTTGACGTTGTGGCACACGTTAGCAAAAAATGAATCGTTGCTGATGTCGGCTGTTGGAGGCTTCAAGGGGCTTACCAACGTTGGCAACCATAGTGGATCGAAATATGCAAAGCCACGACGCTGATGGATGCACATGGAAGATCACAAGTCGCGACGGACCGAACATATTATCCAAGAAGAGCAATGTGAACACTTAACTCAATGAATCCAGCAGTCTTTAAAAATTGAGCAGGCTGTCCATGTGGTCTAGACTAGAAGCATGGTGCCTTTTCGGTCGTCGGAAATCAGTAAAGCCATTCAAATTCTTCATGGTTCTGAATTATGCCGTGTGATATCATGACACCTAGAGGCGATAAAATACCGTCAATATGACAGAATAATCTATAGGAAAACGCTTTAGGCTTTTATAGACGTGATTCACTACTTATAAGGTTGCTGAAAACCCTTGGACAGCCGACGACCGGTTTCATCCCTCTTGGGGTTCATCAAGTAGGAGCAGTCCCAGAGTTTCCGTCAGCCTTATATTCGAATTGGGTTCAAATTGCACGGAATTAGCGAAATACAGTCATTTGCATGCCAATTTGGTACTAACGGGGGAGGGAACCTGGAACCCAGCTGAATCTCTCGTCTATGATGTTATCAAGCCTCCTTGGTGAGTCCCAAGAGGGGGCGAAACCAGTCGTGAGCTGTCGAGTTTACAGCAGCCCTATGAATAGTGCACTACGTCCATACAATGTATCTCGAATATAGTACCAACTGAAACATGAGGCGGACTCGTGCAGCACTTTCAGTTGCTTACTAACATCATAAACGAGATTCAGCTGGATTCCAGGTGAGTCTCCCATCAAATGAAGGCATTTCGCTAAATTTATGCCTTCTATCACAATAATGTAGAAAAGATGGTTATTATATGGGGATTCCGAGGGAAGCACATATAAATCATGTGGATCAGGTCACTCTGAATTGTCTGGTTCGGTGAAAGATGGCTATCGCATTCCCCCCACAAGGCCACTTAGGAAATTTGTTTGAATGACGCGTACCTGAGGCGTCTACAAACACCATCTACACGCAAAGTACAAAAGAGCCAGACAGACCACACCTGGGGTTAGCTATCCTAGTTGATTCGACCAAGTGCGTTGTTACTTAATCGCCTTGCCGTGACTTAGGCCTTTCGTTAGAATATCGTTGGTCTCACTATTCGCTCTACACCACATAACGCCGCCTCACGCGATTTATAGGGGGGCGGGTGAACTGTAACGTGGAGGCATCCCAGATTATGACCAGAGGAGGTACGTGTTGAGCAAGTGGTCTCGTCATACTCAAACTAACCAAAGGTAATCCGTCGAGTCGAGAGTTAGAGGTCGGGTTCGAACCACGGACCTTTCGGTCGGTAAATTTGCGCTCTAACCACTTGGACCATCTCGCTCCCACACAGTCGTCAATATGTAGCTACCACATTCAAAATTAATTAGGCTCGGCTATACCTCCCATGTTTTTTCCTTTTCTGGTGACCAAAACCGTAGGAGCCCGAACCAGGGTAACCTTGGTATATGATTTATGGCTGCCAAACTGAACAGGAATGAACCCAAGTCTGCTTTGTTTCTTCGTTTCCATAGACCACAATTTTGAAGATAGGTTTATCTATTCTAACAGGTAGCAGAACTGGATACTTTGGAAACAAACGAATGTGACAGGCAGATGCTATCCCGGAGTGTGGCCACTGCACCATTCACCACCCGTGATTCTCTGGCATGGCCCTTTGACGTTATCTTGTTCTCTGTTCGTATTCAGCGTATTAGTCACTAGGTTATGAAAGGAGAAACGAGGCTCACCAATCAAATGTTATCAGTAACGCTGCGGGCGCTGTCAACCTAGAAGCAACATAACCATTTATCCCGTTCACAAAATAGGCTTTTTTAACCCATGTGTATCGGCAACTACGTGCACGCAACAGATGATCTTTCAAAATCTACGAACCGCGCGTGATCGGTTCGAAGTAAAAAGCTACACCAGTGTACAACGTACAGGGTCAAAGGCTTGAACAGTCAGAAAATCACAGCACATTCACACAGAACAAGCGGAAACTAGTTGAATAAACAATCACCTAGCCGTCGAAATGAAGTGATAACCATATATGGTATGGTGTGCAATGAAACTCATGACGTTAGACGAGACATTTCGTTGACCTCATTTCCATCACCATTGTTGACAGCAACAGTAGTGTTAGACATCAGTGCTTTACTGTCAAAAGATATTCAAATTTATAACAGGTATACCCTGAAACAACAGGATGGGGCCTAAAAGAGGTCATCTTACCACACCAAGGACTAACCTCCAGATATGGTAACGATCCTTTGTGGTTGGAAGTAACGGCGAACGACAAGAGTAAACCAGTTATCAATTACTTCGCTTACTAAGGCTGACGAAACTCCAGTCATCAAATGAGGTGACGTTCATGGTTGTACGCGAATGGGATACTGTCACGGCGCCTGCAACTGGATAGTAGTAGGATTAGAGTCCTCAACCAGAGCCTTTGGCTCAAAAGCCTAACTCCATGAAAGAGGATAAGTAGCAGCATACTACTACAGTAGTACAAGTTTTTAAGGAACATGTTTCTGTGCTTCCTCTGACCTTCAACCTGGAGGGCTAGGACCCCTATCCACTGGCCAGCTGTAACACCTTTTCGGTGCCTAGCTGCCATGCAACCCGAAGAAAGCACGAGGGCTGAGGCACTGCCAGATTGCCCAAGCCTAGACAGGGGAAGTCGAGAGGCAGAGGTCGGGCTCGAACCACGGAACTTCAGGTTAGTAAATTCACGCTCTACCCACTTGTGCCATCTCGCCCCGAAATAGCAAGGATAATCCGTCTAGATAGACCCATTTGAACATTACGTTTGTCTTCCAGGAGACTCAGATGAATCTCTCCGTTACGATAATGTTCAAATGAATGTGCTGCGCAAAGGCTACGTCGTATTTCAGTTATGCAGCACATTCGGTGGAAGAATATCAGAAAAAAGACATCCGGTTGAATCTCCCGTCAATAAGAAAGTAATTTACAGAGGATTGCATTTCGTCAGTTACGTACAACCTGATGTTCAAGCAGAATATAAAGTTGGTGGAACCTCGGGGAACCCGCCAAGGAGGGCGAAACCAGTTGCGGGTATTCAGCCTTGCAGGTAGTGTGCTGTGTCAAGACAAGATTAATCTGTATCAAACCCGAATGAAAGAAGCAAACGGACCTCTTCCCACAACAATACTGCGCAATAGCACATAATTAAGTCTAAGTACCTTAAAAAAAGGAAATACTAACCTGTCCGGTTTAAGCGGGCCATAGACATGGTGGCAGCATGAAACAGACTCTGAACTTGCTCCATACTTATCGCATTACACAAGTTTGAGGTCCAAAAACTATGTCCATCCAGCATCCATTGGCGGATATTCACTGCAACCTGCGTTCCCAGTGGTTTTGTGAGGACTAACAAGTCTCCTTCTTGCGCCTGGTTTGGCCTGTATTTTGGAAAGACGAAAAGCCATATAGACAATACGAATGAACAAGGGAAAAATCCAAATGCGATCTAGCTTACAAGCGTAAACAGCTGCCACTGGAACTTGAGAAGGCTTTGTTTCCCAAGTGGGAACTACTAAGCAACGGGTTTGCGGTCCGATTCTGCCTGCTGTTTTATTATTCTTGTCTAAGATGTGAGTAGTACGGTTGTCGGGTTTCCTTCCAATTACGGAGCAGCAACAAACCGAATGGGAGGAGTGACTAAGGAGGTTGAAAGGACGAATACAGAAAACAGGTATAATGGTGAAGTTCTGATATGTAATACCTCTAACAATCGATGTCCGATTCCGAAGGTGCGGACCTAAAAGGCTTAAGCATAGGTTAAAGATAACAATAGAGAGACAGTTGTGATAGGATAAGATTTTAAATAGCCGATTATTTCATTCTGAATCAATATCAGGAACAAACTAATTGAAGTAACATTCGAGCTCAGCAAGAACCAAGATAACGGTAAGATTTAGGCATAGCACCTCTCTTAGGCAGTCGGCTTAATTAACTCAACCTTTCAATACCAGTAATGGCTCGTGATATCATCCGGTTTCTGATGTCAAAGTCAGTTATTTGGTCTATCTTCCCGACTAGTAACAAATCAATGCAACCTCGACCCCCCCCAACGAGATCCTCAAGCAGCGCATGATGGCAATTCGTAGACAAAATCAATACTGAATACCGTTTTCCATAGATGGGGCGTACTGTTAGAAAGATCGATGAAAACTCGTTGGTACCTCACTACCGGTTTGAAGTTTAGCAGCCAGGCGTAATTCCAAAATATCAAACAACCTTATACCTCACTTGTACACAACACTAGATGTATGGGGGAATAAGGTGCCGCTACTATGAGAATGCATATCCCGTGTATTCTGTTCTTCGACTCACGTATGCAGGTAAGAGATCAGACTAGTCGAAATTAGAGGAGCGGACTGGATAGCGGGCTGCCAACGAGTTTACATCGGTGTTATAAACAGTGAAGGGATTAATCTGCCGATTAAATGCTCGTTCACGTTCGTTGCAACGATGAGGAAACATTTGGTGATGGATGAATCTGGTTGGGAATCGCGAATTAGCGAAAACGGATAATAATTGTTCTAGACTACGTCTGAAGACAGCCAGTAACGGAAAATGACCTCTTAAGTGCATGCATATACACCTCAAATAAGGGTAACGTGGATCGCTTGAGATCCTTTTCAGGTACCTGGCGAATTTCAGCCGATGACAGAGGCACTGACAATCGCCAGTCAAAGACTTTTCCGGAAACAGTAATGTTTACCCCTAATCCACAACATTTCAGCTCACCAGAAGTAACGGATATTTTCCCTTCTAAGGAAAGCATCAAATGAGCCCACGGATCAAATGACAAAAAGAAAACTTACATGATGAATTCCACATCAGAGCAAACTGAAGTAGCTACTCCACCAACCATAAGCCATGGACTAAGCACAGTTTGGCCACCGCGGATAAAAGTTCCAGCTTCAAATGCGCAGTCCTGAAAAGTGTAAGAGTGATATATAGAAAAGCATACTCGAAATCCTTGCATGAGAGCCGGTATAGCAACCTCCCGCTCTTTTGAATTCATTTCTTGTGCGACACCGAGCAAAAGTAACATGTTATCACAATCCACAACACCCATCGCGTATAGATCGCTCAACACATTGCAACACGTAATCCAACCCTGGGTAAAGGGGCATTTTGTGAGCAACAAATACTTTCTTACCATGGTGTATGGATCATCAATTAGAGGGTAGAAGAAATCGGTTGTTTGAATGAGTTTCTGGTCGTTTCGGAGAGGGATGACACAAGAGTCTAATTCTACGGCTAAGCCTCAGTTAGCAGAAGCTTGGAGGAGCAGAAACTCACAAATCAAAGGGGCATCACCGGACGAGGTGGGCTGGGGAATATTCAGTCCCTCAAGCAATCTTTTCAGTTCGGCCTGAGGGACCTTACATCCTCATCCTCTGAGCATCGAGAAACGGGTTAGACGGAAATCTTTGCTCAATCCATGAGCTTCCGGGTCAAAGGACCCTGAGAGGACCTGGCGACGAGGTATTATACTGTTGGTCATATTGCTCATTTTAAAAAGACGACGGGCTGAAAGAGATTCAGAGAAAACGGTAAAACCGGTATGAAAGGCAGGGAAAGTGAATATTTTTTAGAAGACAGTGTTATCCGACTTCCCATGGACGGAGAAAAAATGGAAAGTACTTGATTCGCACATCGGCTTGACTAACGAGGAATGAACAGAAACATTTGGACTCAAAAGATATTTGCTACTTTATTTAAGTGTGAGCTGATAATTTTCATTGACTACGACGTCTCGTGTGTACAATAGCTTTCAACAGCTCCATAATAATTAGGAATAATGTCTTTTACTTTCAGAATTCAACTAGAACTAAAAGAATCCACCTGGTTGTTTGGTCATATCAAAAATCTGAAATGGAAAGCGCAAGGTCGCAACTTCTACTTCAAGTCACTATACGGAAGGCTCGACTCTTGACGATCAACTCGTACGATCCCTTAGTAATTCAAGGGAATCTCCATGAAAACTATTCGAATCATTCTGACATTAGCTTAAAGACGACGAAAGGCCATTGCTCCATACCCAAATCCTTTTTATAAAGGCCTCGGACTGACTGGGTTACACTAGACCATACCCTCCACGGCAGCACAAGTCGACCTCAAAAAAATGAAGCGTGAGGTCCATATATTGATGGAATACGCCGGAAAGCTCCAGACGTTTATGACTCAGTTTAACTTTTCCGTCGAATCCGTGACGCTCCCAGTACAAACGAGGTCCCGTGTCTGAGTAACAGCAAGGTAGAACTGATGAGTGAAGTTACAGGAAGAAAGGAACTGTTTACTTGCCTCGCCTTAACGTGGCTACCCTCAGTTGAAGAAAAACTAGGCTTGACAAACATGTCCATGGAGTCCTTCAGGAATTTGCTGCGAGTCATGTCACATGCACCACTTCAAAATTATCACCATCAGCACCATCATTGACAGCAACACCAGATTAGAACACTGGTTTCTTCACTGTCATACAACCACGTCAATATATTTCAATGAAAGCCCACGATAGAAAAACGGAACAGAAGGGTGAACCTAGGGTAAGCCTATGACAAACGTCCAAGATGCCGACGCCTGCAACACCCACTTTGGATAAAAATTGACAGCAAGAACACTCGTGACACCAGTCGGTCGCCATTTTCTTTAGTGTATCCAGTCAAACACATGGGGGTCATGTGGACCCCATTCTGCAAGACGAACAGCGCCCAAACCTTTCGTAAAATCCTTCATTCCCTTCTGCCGTATCAACTTCTGTCCACCTTTAGGTTCCCGCAACTCCGGGTGAGGCACAGAAAACAACGCTCCTGTAGGCAGGCGTTAGCCTGGTATCTGTAAAACAAGGCCCGCCCACCTTAGCCTGCAATGCTGGATACAATCACCAAAAACCCGTCTCCTGACCACATTGCGAATTCGATGGTTCCAGCCACACTTCTGAGAAATCGGCGGTCAAATGCCTGAAGATGTCTCAGCCCCTCCACCCGATGTAGCCAAGTCTCACGGCTGTACGATGATACTGTAGTCTGCCACATGCGCCCTTGAAGATCCCGTGAAATGCCTTTCTGATACCACAGGTGGCGCAAGTTGGCAGACGCAAATGTGCCCTTCGAGATTCGTGTGCTCGTTCCGTCCATCACACTACCGCCAGGGTTAATGCAACTTCCGAGATACGAATGGTGTCCCACAATCTTCAGTCACTTCCTGGGTTACTTGAATATTCCCATAGTTTCAAAAAGAACAAAGTTACATTAATGTTTTTATGATCTCGTCCTCAGGTCAGTACATAGCTACTGGTTAAGGAAGGGGCAAATAATAGAGGAGCGACATGCTGCTAACGAAGCCTGACAACGGAGTGCGAACAGCATTTACGAACATGGATGAGTACCTCAGAAAGATTATTCAGATCTTGAATGATACTTCAAAACTTAGCAGGGAGCGAAAGGCACAAGACCAGACCCTAACTGGTTGGAGCGCTTGAGAAATTAAAATTTGATTCATATTCCAACGACTCAAGCCTACAGGTACCATAGTCCTACGACCTTATCGGCTGTCTATGGCTCAGAAGAGGTCCCACTGAGACCCATCTTAGAAGTGTGATTCGCCATCGTTCAAATGTAACGCCCTTTCAGGGGCTAGCTTCCATGCCACCCAAAAGAAAGCACGAGGGCTGGGATACCGCCAGGTTGCCCAAGCCCAGATGGGGGAAGTCAAGATGCAGAGGTCGGATTTGAACCACGGATCTTCCGGTCAGTAAATATACACCCTAAGCACTGAACCAACCCACCCTGTACCACGCAACTGCCCAATCGTTAGTCGAGATTTTAAAACCCGCACGACATCGTTCATGCCAATAAGGTCTATATGGCACCTTTTGGCTTGTGAAGTTGATAAAAGGCGTTACCGAGCTCTTCTGACGTAAATTCTTTTTATCAGCCTCCTATTCATAGGGACTATACATTTTGTGTGATCACAGTGACTCGTCAGACTTGAGCCAACTCGAGGGATCTAGTAAGCTAGTATGCTTGGTCCAGAGTGAGTTCGCTGTGTGCTGAAAGCTTTTTCGTGGATAAGAGGGCGCCAGGTTGCTAATTATAGCATCACGCACGAATTCATCTTGATATTCACTTGCAGGTACTGATTTAAACTTGCAGTCTTCGGTTAATGATTTCAGTTTTCATACGAACTGTCCATTCTGCACGTAGGTCTGTAGCAGGTGGCGTGCATATATAACGTCTTTGGGACGAACACATGATTTTCGTAAGGTACGGGTCGTAGATTCACAATCGGAATAATCAGCATTGTGATCGCATATCGGTAGTTCCAAAAAGTGTATGAGTTTCAAGTTCACCAGGTTTGGAGGATTCGACGGTTTTCAGGTAGGTGTCGAAGGTAGGAAACCAGTGATTCCAAGGCTTGGCTACATCAGCGGGGTTTGGGTTGGCGTCAAAGAAGAGGTCATAGCTACGGATCCATTGTATTCTTAGATAAGTAAAATAAAACGTTTAGAATGCGTCGGAGAACGGGTTAGGAGAATCTAAGTTATCGAGGATAAACAACGTTTTACTTGTCCAAGACACGTGGATTAGCTGAAATGTACATCCAAAGATTTAGTACGAATGTGTACAGTGATTATAATAACAAGCAGACAACAATCATGACAAAACGATTATCTTCAACTGAGGACCAATATCCCATGGTTCACTTGAGTCCACGACTGTCTTGCGATTGGTGGCTTCGAAGTCGGCGTGAGCGTTTGTGCTGGTCAGGAACAGACGATGATTTGTACATGGCTGAAGCAGTCGCTCCCAATTATCCGTACACCGATCATCGACTACCAAATGTTTTTTTTCTGGACTCAGTCGTGCAAATCGAACATTCATACCACCATCAGGCTTATTATATCCGTCATTCTTGCTGATCGTAGCAGCCGTGACAGGTCCCGTTAACCCGTTCTTCTGTCTCAGGACTGCGTATGGTGAAACGACAAATAAACACCATTCACCGCGTCGATCTCACCTAAACAAGACAACTGCACAGACGACCGTCTACTGGGGTCAATTCCAGTAAAGCGCATTTAGTCTTGGGATTGAGTGCAAATACCACACCATGGATTGCTTGAGGTGCACGACCGAAACGGGGATTCGTATGCGCGTTTTGAGGACAAAAGATACATCGACTGAGAGGGAAGGCAGGGTTTCAGTCAGAGATACCTGTTATCCAATTTGACAGAGTGCGGACGTCGAAAAGTACGTTCAGCTGTAACACCATTGTAGTGCCCAGCTGCCATGCCACACGTAGGGAGCACAAGGGATGGGATACTGTCAGGTCATCCAAGCCTAGACAGAGTCTAAATGCAGAGGCCGGTCCTCCAGGTTGGGGGTTGGAACATGTATGGCGACTTGTTCCGTAGAAAAGGTAATGCATTTGCATTTCCCCGCGAAACACCGCTGCCTTGCGGTTAGGCTTTTGAGCTAAAGGCTTTGGTTGAGGACCCTAATCGTCCTCCTGTCTAGGTGTGGGCGCCCTGGCAGTATCCCAGCCCACGTACAACCATGACCTACACAAC